CGCTCTTGCGGGCTGCCTTGGTGGCCAGCTGCTTGCGCGGGGCCTTGCCGCCGGTCGACTTCCGGGCAGTCTGCTTCGTGCGCGCCATACCTCACCTACTTCCAACTAAAGGGCCGTAGGCAGTCTTATTTATAGACATAGCCTCGCCTTGATTGGGCCAGAAAGAAAGAATTTCTAGAGTTCTGATTTCATTGGCCAGAACTCAATCCTATTTACTGAGGCAGAAGATTGTTATGCTAACCTTTCTGTTATTTCTTCTTTTTCCTCCTTTGTCTGATTTTTCCATCCAAGGATAGTTATTTGAAGATCTTTCCTTCAAATTGATGTATATTTTGTAAAAGAAATGTATAAGCTGTTTGCATATTTTGTATTTTAACAGGTTTCTTCTGAAAAACATCATGCCCTCCCATGAACTGGAGTGATTCAGCTTGTTCCAAGTCACCTGTTACTACTGTAACATTTCTCCCACGATCCCTGAAGCATAACAAAACAGTATGTAGTGGAAAGATTGAAAAATTAAACTTACCGTTACCTGACTTCTGACCCCAACCAAACTCCAGTTTTATTTGCAGGTTAAAGACCAACTTGATATTAGGGCCTTTGCCCTCCTTTAGCCTTTTCCCCTGGAATGAGGTGTCCTCCTCACTCCTTCATCAAAGGCCAGTTAGTGCCTGCATATGAAATGCTTCTGAGTAAAAAAAAAAAGAGATAAGACCAGAAATACTAATCTCTCCTTTACAGTGAGGAATGGTTTCAAGTCAAGTCCTTTTTAGCCATGGGACAAGCTGAAATCAAGTTTCAAAGCAAATTTTTCATCAATTACTGACTAGTTCATATTTTCTTGAGTAAAGATAAAATGTTTTCTATTGCTTTAAAGGTTTAAAATTTTCTATATTTTCCACAAAGACAGTAAAGATCCTTTGCCTTTCAGTTAGACCATGTGCTTTGAAGTATTATCCAGGCAACTTCATAGACAATGTACTAGTTTACATAAAGCTTTTAATGGCATGCTTGCTTTATTGAAAAAGTATGACATACAACCTTAAGAAAATTCAAATTTAAGAATCAAAGCAGGCCCAAGATGTTTAAAACTTACCTTGATAGTGACAGTACGAGGCTTTTCCCTACTAAAATCGAAGTAAAATAAAAGAGATTTTATGGGGGTTTCCTTTAACAATGTAAAAAATTGTTAGCTTAATAAATATTTTCAAGAATCTCCCATGAGCAGCTGCAGACCCCTCTGAGGAGCTCTAAAATGACAAGACTGTGACTGATGTGGAAAATATGATCCCCTCCAGTGGTGGTTTTGTAACCATGCCCACAAGTGGAGAGCAGCTCTCAGTGTTTAAAGTTCTACCTACACTGTGTCACTGAATGCCAACTTTGTGAAATAGATGTTACTTGCCTTGCTTTATGGGTAGAAAAACCGAGACACAGAAATTATGGCTTGTCCTGGGTGAGTAAAAATGCTACATAATATTCTAAAGCAAAATAATGAACTCATAATGAACAATTTCTATTTCATTATCACTGTGCTAACTTATAAATTAAACTTTACCCTAAGTATACACGGTGTATGGTAAAAACCATCGCACTGTTTCTCTTGGTTACAGTATTGTTTGTCGTTTGAGGCACTGACGAGGCATCTTAGAACGTATCCCCTGAGGATAGGAGGAAACTGAGGATAAACAGAGGATCCAAGATAGGATTTCACTTGTATGACATAAATGATAAGAAAATTCCTGCCCGGCAAGTTCAAGGTCCTGGGTTCCATTCCCAGTATCAGAAAAAGAAAGAAGGAAGGAAAGGAAGGAAGGAAGGAAGACAGAAAGAGGAGAAAAAATGCTAAGAGTTTTCCCTCTGATTTAATTTTTTAAAAAAAAATATAAGAATCTGTGCTCAGAAAACAGAGATGTCAATTTAAATATTTACTCAGGGAAGCAATTTAAATAAAATTATCAACCAAAGTAGTAAACTTTCAGTGGCTAAAGGTAACATTTGTCAGAATACAAAAACTTCTGGGGGCCGGGGATTTGGCCCTCACAAGCGCAAGGGCCCAAATTCAATCCCCGGTACCAAAAAATAAATAAATAAACAAAAACAACTTCTGGTGCACAGTTGCCTCAGAAATCACCTTTAATAACAGTTCCGTCCCCAAGTTGGTCTCTAAATAGTCCTATGAAAGTTTTCAAACTACTATTTATCAGAATAGGTTTGTAATGCAAAAGAATCTCTGCTTTTCTGCAGCTTTGGGAGCAAGGAATTTGTTCTATTAAAATTTCTGAAGTGACTTTCATGAGAAATTATAAGGGTTTACACTTTGAATTTTAGTAGTTAGGAAGGGGCAGCAACAGGCAGGGGACTGGGAGCAGGGCAGGCAGGTGAATTTATTCTTTGAATAAGAAGCTTCAAATTTTCCACACAGGAAAATAACAGTAAAGGTTAATAAATGAATAGGTATGTAATGTACATGCATTTATTTTTAATACAAAAGTAATGGAGTGAGTTAAAATAGATGTTACAGGAAGATAGTTTGTGTTGGATTTTTGGCTTCAAGTACTCCCAGGATTATAAGTACTCCAAACCCAGACCATTTGAATCTGGCTCCTAGGTTGGCCACGGATTCTGCATGATTTGCTTTCATCTTGACTGCAGCCCAGACCAAACTAAGAAGCCATAGGAATATATTTATACATACTGGGGTTTGAACTCAGGACCTTGTGTTTGTGAGGCAGGTGGCGGCACTGCTGAGCTAAATCCCCAGCACAGAAGCCATAAGATTTTGAACTTCTTTCCTCATCCGATTCTGAGATAAATTCACTCCTTCAACATTCTGCCATTGGATAAAAACTTAGCATCATTCTCCTTTCTACTTGAGATGGGAAGGTAAGGTGTGGCTAAAACTGGCTGGGAAAGGAGGTGTCACGATCCTTGGAACACAGCCCCAAAGCCCTGCAGTGGAGTTCTCGTGAGAATTTGAGCAGGTTTTCCTCAGGCTGTCCTCAACCTGACTTCAGCCTGAGGAGTGGGGATACAAAAAAGGCGGTCCACCCTGAGTTTTTGGCCACTATGTTCTCTCTTGCATGGTGGTCCACCCTCACGCTGTAGGGTGTACTTCTTTTCCTACTTTTACTTGGCTCAAACTTACTCTGCAGAGCCTCTTTTCCTACTTTTAATAAAACTTTGCTGTCATTTGTGCTTGTCTTGAATAATTTTTTTGCTCAGATAGAACCTAGAAACCATCTCTAGAATGAGACTCGAAAACCCCAAAATATAGTGACCTTTAACACATACTACCAATACTGCAGTTTCAAATTTATACAATTTATAGCCTTACACTATAACTCCACTACAATATACAAGAAAGTAACAAATTCTATTTCAAAGTTGTACAAAAATGGTTTTATTTCACTAGCCATCCTTGTGGAATATTCTAGGTTACATATTGTAGATATGTTAAAAACTTTATACTCTAAGAACTGCTTTTATATGAATTGTAGGCATGGATACACAAATGATTATTTTTCTTCAAACTTCACGGCTCCTGGGTTTTGTTTTGTTTTGAGATGATTTCGCTTTGTAGTTCAGGCTGGCCCTGAGCTCACTATATATAGCCCAGGCTGGCCTCAAACTTGGAGCGATCCTCCTACCTTTGCCCCGAGTGCTGGGATTACAGGCACACACCACGACACCTGGCCCTTCATAGGTTATTAGAACTCATTCTATAACCAAAAATAGATCAATGAGAGAAAAGCAAAGCTGGGCATGGTGGTACATGCCTGTAACCCCAGCATTCAGGAGGCTGAGGCAGGAGGATTCACGAGTTCAAGGCCAGCCAGGGCTACACAGTGAGACTTTGTCTCAAAAAAAACAAAAAACAAAAAGAAAAGAAAACATTTTTAATATGTGCATTTTTATACAACTAGATACAATACATACTGTCTTAGTTACTATTTTCATTGCTGACACCTGACACCCAAAGGTAAAAGAGGAAAAGTTTATTTAGCTCACACTTTGTAGAGGTTTCAGTTCATAGTTGGCTGGCTCCAAGGCAGGGTGGCATGGCAGAAGGGCATCACAGAGGACAGTTCATGGTGGGCAGGAAGGCAGCAAAGCAACAAGGAAGGAAGAAACAAGTGGCAATAGCAGCTGTCTGTTCCTTGTGCTCGTGCTATCCAGGCTACACACCCTAACCGGAAGCACTCACACCCAGCGTGGACCTTCCTATTACTCACATTCAGAACGAGGCCAAAGCAGTCAGTGGAGTACTTTAGTAGTCACATATACTCAGTCCAGCATCACTCACTTACTCTAGGCACCGCCACCTCTGGAAATGCCCCACCTAATGGCCTCGGGGGATATCTAGACACAAGCTGTAACACATATGGAACACCCCAAAAATGAGTGTCTCCAAAGGGTGGTTCGAATCAGGCAGGGGTCCTATGTACCCAACTTAGTAGAGGAAAAGGAGAAAGGAAAAGAAAAAGATTTATTTTTAGCAAAATAAATAGCCCTTAGAAGAAAAGGGAGGTGTGATAGTCCTGTGACAATGACTGGTTCCATATGGTACCAACTTCTTATCTCCAGAAAGAGAAATTTGGGGTTGTTGCCAGATTTATAACAACTGAGTTAAAATGTTGAGCTCTTTGGGAAGTCTCTGCTTTTAGACAAATAAAAATTTCAGGAACTCAAATGCCTCTGTCTCAAAACGTTTCCTATGCCCAAAGTGGCATATTTGGGGTGGCATAACATGCTCCTCTCCAAAAGGGAATTCCACGGAGGGTCCTGTCCCTCTCACTTCTGTTTGCTTTGGCTTTCGGTTGTTTTTATCATTGCAATTTGAGTTTTTTCTCACCAGTGTTTGAAAGCAGTCAAATGCAGGAACTGTTCATTCTGTAAATGAGTACTGAGTTTATACCAGACACAGACGTAGCCAGAGATGAGATCTACTGAGAATTCCAGGGTGTAGCTTTGCACATGTAGCTGTGTGACCCACGGCAGTACTGTTCACTGAAAAGATGACAACTATGCTTGGGGCCAGGGTGAGTCAGTCCCCTCACACCTTGTAAGTTTTAAATTTAAACATTTTGAGCTTTGAGTTTTAAATGACTTAAGAACCACCAAATGGATCTACACGTCTGGAGCCTATAGGACTGGACAAAGATCTGGGATTCATCGACATATAGAAAGTAGCTAGTGCCAAAGGAAAAATGGAACAAGACTTCTTTAAAATAATACTTTTCAGGAAAAAACTACCTCTGATGCAGAAACCACATTTTCTCATAGCCTCTTCTATTGAGCCCTAGCAAAGGAACAAACATGCTCACGGTAACAAAGTTTCACGGGGCAGTTTCTGAAAGTGACCCTCCCGATAAAAAGAGAGGTCCTTTTGCAAAACCCAAAGCAGCGGACTTTGCTAAGCAGGGGAGGGGGCAGTGCTCGGCCAGGACACAGTTTGGGCAATGAATCCTGCCTGACAATAGGATCGATTTTGGAGGATCTGTAGAAATGGCTGCAGAACGTCTCCACTATACACCGTGCTGTACATTCAACAAAACTTCGGGTGGCATGCATTGGGGTTCACTGACCTCCACGACACAGCAGAATTCTGAGACCAATTTGCCTAGGATCCGACTTGACTGAGATGAAATACTGTGCCTACGGTAACCAACAAAATAGTGACCATACTAAAAAAATTGCAGCGAGCTTCTCCCTCCCTCCCGCATCCACTTGTAACCCAGCAGCCACTGCTTTTGCTGCAGTTTTCTGCAGCCAGGTTTGGAATTCTCCGGTCTATTAGATTCGGCGCGGACGTTCTCTCCGGCCCATTTGCTCTTCCTCCAGCTTCCTTCCACCAAACCTTTCCTTTCATTCTCAATGTACTGCTTTCCAGGAGCCCGGAGAAGCAAAGGGACAAAGATTGCGGGATCTGGAAGCCGCGTTGGGATCTAAATTCTCCCAGAGACTATGGCGGATCAGCTATTGAAAAACAGCAGGGGTGGAGGAACAGGAGAAGCACAAACAAAAAGAGGAAGAGAGGGAGAGAGGGAGAAGCTGGGGCCAGAGGGAGCTGGAAGGCCGCGGAGACGGAAACAAAGGAAAGGAAAAGCAGCGAGGGGGCGGGGCAGCTAGGCCGCTTCCCGCCCGCGCTCTTTCAGTCTTCAAATTGGTCCGATCCCGGCGCATATTAGCAGGGAGCCGCTGTCGTCCTGGTCAGAGGTTGTCCTTCCTCAGCAGAGCAGCTATGTCTGGCAGAGGTAAAGGCGGGAAGGGTTTGGGTAAAGGTGGTGCTAAACGTCACCGCAAGGTCCTACGGGACAACATCCAGGGTATCACAAAACCCGCGATTCGGCGTCTCGCCCGCCGTGGCGGCGTTAAGCGCATCTCCGGCCTCATCTACGAGGAGACTCGGGGCGTGTTGAAGGTGTTCCTGGAGAACGTCATCCGCGACGCTGTCACCTACACCGAGCACGCCAAGCGCAAGACGGTCACCGCCATGGACGTGGTGTACGCCCTCAAGCGCCAGGGCCGCACCCTGTACGGCTTCGGGGGCTAAGTGCCTGGTTCCGCGTCCCACTCGCAACGGCCCTTTTTAGGGCCAACCACACAGTCGCCGGAAGAGCTAGTCGCTTGTGGAATTTTATCCAAATTGGGGGAATTGAAGGGGGGTCCAGTCAGGAGGAGGCTCTTGCAGCGCTGCTGGCCCTGAGAGCTGGTTTACTGACAGCCACAGCTGCCTTCTACGCATTTGTTTAGAGCACGTTCCCCAGGGAGAGTAGTCTTGCCGCTGGGTCGTTAGGTTGCCACCACCGTGAAGTGTAATCCAATTTACGCAGCACAGTGGGAAAGCAGTGCTACATTTGACGTCCAGAGCTGCCAGTGCCACCCCCGGTCTATTATTGGACGGTTCACCTCCAGTCCTTTCTCCACTCTTAAACAGCCAGGAGGGCCCGGGTCCCTAAGGGCTCATTAACATGGGGCACTTGTATCTGCGTGCTTGTCTCAAGCTTGCAAAATCAAAACTCGTCAACCAACTCAGTAAACGTACTAGGAAAGTTTCAGATGTTTCTAGCAATTTAGCTGGCGAGTCCATGAAACTCCCGGGCTTCTGGTGTTCAGAAAAAAGGTTTCAAAATTAGTGAAGAACCCGAGATGTTCAATTCTCGGTGGTGGCACTATGAGGATACAGATGTAGAGACATTTGATGTAATCCTAGAAAAGCTGAGCAAACATACTTGAAAAGACTTCAAGAAATGTAATTCAAGTCTGTGACTTTCTCGTTTGGCCCTGTAGTCGCTCAGTAAAACGAGAGACCTATTAACATGCTTACCATTGATACAGGAAGTACAGTTTAATTTTGACCAGCCTAAAGTATCAGAATACTGCTTCAGTTTTCCTAATCTCCCCTGATTGGGATTTAAGATGGGTGGGTCCACAAAAAACTTGGGTGGGCAAAATTTAAAGCATTGTGCTTTAATACTGGCGCTGTCAGCAAGGAAAAGATGCAAGACTTACTCTCCTGACCCCATCATTAGAACAGGGAAGAAAAATAGTTACATAGAAATGTACAAGTCATGATCAAAAAAATATAGTTACATTTTTTAAAATGCTTTACAGTAAATTCTGGCTTGAAACACTTATCCCATCGTCTTTGCCCCTCGGAAGCACATCTGAAAGCCTTCTTTCCTGTCCTTAATTTGCTGTCATGGCTGCCTCCATGCAGGCACGATTCAAAACATTTACCTTTCATTCTCATTTTGACTTTAGGAAAGAACCAGAAGCCCCATGTGCCAGATCCAGTAAGGTGGTTGAAGACATAATGATGTTTCCAATGAGCGGCATGTGACAGCAATATTTAGTTTTAATCACCTTGTCAAGACATGTGAAAATTACAGAATACGAAGTAATGTGATTTTTTGCATTAATAAATGCCTTTCTCTTATCCATTTCAAATAAAGAAATGGCTGGGGGATATTTCATATCTCATCTCCAGTATTATTTCCTGAGTTTGATCCTGGGTGTGTGTGGGGGGTATGGATGGATGGATGACTGCAAGCAATGAATTTCTGTTGTTTACAAATTACTGTCTAAGACATTTTGTAACAGCTCCTCAAACTGAGTCAGGTGTCCACTATAAACTTGTATTGTTGCAGAGTACACCACAGAGTGCATCTCCCACCTTTTATCTATCCTTCCTGGTAATGAATGTCCAACACTGTTTCCAATGTCCCACCTTCTTTGTCATGTTTCCTGATAAACTAGTATGAGAGGTTTTTTTGGATGATGTCTTAGTTACTTTTCTCATTGCTAAGACAAAATATCCAACATCCAAAGTTAAAGGAGGAAAAGGTTTATTGTAGCTCAGTGTGTAGAGGTTTCATTTCCTAGATGGCTGGCTTCAAGGCAGTGTAGTCTGGCAGAGGGACTCCACAGAGGAGAAACAGTTCACAGCAGGCAGAAGGCAGCAAAGCAGCAAGCAGCAGACACAGCAACAAGCAAGGAGGCAGAAGCCTCTCCCTTTTATCCCTTCTAGGCTACCTGCCTTTTGGGTGGTGCCACCCACACCCAGGATGGACCTTCCTATTGTCCAAATGTAGAACTACCAAGCAGTGGACTGATTCAGTAATCACACAACCTTAATCCCAGCATTGTAAAATTTAATCCCAGCATCACATACCCTAGAACCAGCCACCTCTGAAAAGCTCCACCTATGAATGGGGAGACAACTAGATATAAGACATAACAGATGAAAACACAGAAATCGAATATCCCGCTCCTGTGATCTGTGTAAATTTAACTCGTCTAGGAGGTAGCAGTCTGCCCTTTGGAATGCTGTCCTCATCAGCAGCTCACAAAAAGGTCACTAAGTACCTAAGCCCTCCATGCTGGCCTCCCGCTGACATTATTCCACTTTCAAGTATTTGCTGAACTAGCTAGTACACAGTAATCTATATTCTTTTGATTATTAATTTTATGACTATCTCTACATACAAATACTAGATTTTGTGCCTCCTCTTCTATAATCCCCCTGCTGTTCTTACTCTTTCTCCTACAGCTTGCAGAGCAAAGCCTACTCCCTTCCCATTTAACATTGAAGACCCTAAATAAGATGGCCTCAAAGTCCCTACCACTACAAGCTCGTTTCTCATTACTGACCTTGGCCAACCTTCTGGACTGGTCCTCTCTCATAATTCTTTTATTTTTCTGGTTCCTCTGACTGGACTAGATGGCCCAACCCAAATGTTCCTACCAGAAAAGCTCCAGAATTCATCTTTTAATCTGCATCCTTCTTCACCACCTACCACAGCACACCTTCAAAGTGGTGCTCATAAAGCCCAAAGATCTGGTTCCCATTTCTTCAGACTTAAAATCTGTCTCCAGGTATGAGGGTGCTGGGATTCCTACTGAACATGACAGTAGCATGTTTTAATCAGAGTGATGATCTCATTTGGTTTGGGTAATTCTCTTGACTGTAGTGGTTCACAGTTGCGGGTTAAAACCCATTAGCAAGTGGTAAAAATTTAACTGAAAACATGTAAACGAGCATCTTCTTTTCATGAAACAGAAGAGAACTGAAAGTATCAAAGTGTATCCCAAACAAAAAAAATATGTATCGTTTTGTGCAACTTTTTTCAATTTTAGATGGGTCTGAATATGCACATAAAAGTAAGGTACTAGGGAAGTTTGGAGTCCGCAGAAATCAGTCACTGCTGCCTACAACCACAACTGCTACAGTTGCCTGCCGCTGCTGCTCAACTGCAATAAGACACCCTTAGTCTCGCTATGGAATAACCACATGCGTGGTTTTCCTGAAGCAATGACTCTAATAAAAAGGAAAAGTAAAACCCCAGACCCATCTGGCTCTAATTCTACTTCGGCCATCCTTTGGCTCTGAGGGCCACATTATCTCCTTAGTTTCTTCTCCTTTTCAATCGGAGGAACCAGCCCTTCCCTGCAGCTATTCTGACCCCAGATGAGGCTGGGAATGAAAGGTGAACCACGAGCCACCCAGACACCCCAGTGTCCCCCTGTCTGGACCACACAGTGCAGAAGCTCATCGTGCAATTACAATTATTCACAAGTTGTTCTGTGTCATTTTTTAGGGATATGATTGTAATTTAGACTTACATCAATTCCTACTGATGTCATTAATAATAATTTCAACATTAATGGTGTCATCAGTATCCATTTATTACAAGTGAGGCTCTATCCTAACCATTTTATATTAAATGCAACTATTTTTCACCCTCATGGTGATCCAGTTTACTCTGTTATCCTGTTTTACAATGAAGAAACTGCAACCCAAATCTTTTCTTTTTGGATCTTTTTCAGGTTGAGGGTCAGGAGCCTGGCCCTACCCCACCACACCCAATGGGCCTCAAATCCCAATTCATAGAGTGACGTCCTCAAGCTTCTGTTTCCCATCCCTTCTCTCTTCTGCCATCCATCCTTCCCTCTTCTTCCTGCCTCTCTTTAGATAAATTCCACCAGCTGTTTGCCTTACCACATCCCATAGGAAGCCTGACAGCACAGCTGATTTTCCTGTGTTTGGAGACAGAAACACGGGTCCTTCTCCCAGGTCCTCTGCCTTCAGCAAGACTGGAAATGCTAGTGGGGCTCCGCCCAGCGAACTCACTCTCCGTTGCTACTGCTAGGATCAGGCTAAGGCTCCAAATGTGGCCATCTGTGGACAAGGGCACCTGGGCTTCTCAGAGGCCATGGTCATAAGCAGTTCCCTACTGTCTGTATCTGGGCCACCCCTGGAGACCTCAGAAGTTGTTCCAAGAGGACTAGCCCAGGCCTGCTCCCGGTCTGTAACTACAAGGACTTCAAAAGATGGGGCGTTTGGCGCCCAGCTTCCTTCCATAAGGCAGAGTAGCAGATGAAGTAAATTCATTTCAACAAGCATTTCTGGGCACCTGTGGTGTGCCTGGCACTTCTTGGATGCTAATGCCACGGAGACGGACAGATACAAATTGTACCTGCGACTTCTTACCAGCCTGATGCTGAGGTCAGGGGACGGAAGGGATCTCCAGATAGAAAGGTAGAGGGAAGGAGGAGGACTCAAAAAGCCAGGCAAAGTGGAGAAGGAAGCAGGGAGGCTTCTGGGGCTGAATCTTGCAGGACGAGAAGAGGCTCTCAGAATCACAAAGGAGGCAGGAACATTCCAGACAGAAGACACTGACTACTTAAGTAAAGCAAGTGTTGCCTAGGACTGGAACGTGCTTGTCCTGTAGGAAGAGCATCTGAAATTTGGGTAGGCTCCAGGAAACACAGGAACTAGATGTATATCACAAAAAATTTTACTGGGATGTTTTAAATTAATGACTATTGGAAGGTTAATAACTAGTCATAAAATTAATTGAAAGCTTATTCTAGACTCAACACTGAGTTAGACAATTTATACTATCTGTCATTTTCATTTTTTCCAACAAAATTATGGGCAATTTACTACTGTGCCCATTTTACAAATGGGAAAAGGCCTGTAGAAATTTACTTCCTTAACAAAAAAAAAAAAAAGAAAAGAAAGAAATTAATTTACTTCCTGTACTCATATACTTGATCTTAGGACAAGGCCAGGATTCAAACTGGGGTTTGTCTGGCTCCCGAGTCCTTCCTAGTGATCTACATCCACCACTCTGGACTTTCAAGAAAGGAAAGTGAATTTCCTTCTGAAAGAAATGAGAAGGTGGTGAAAAGTTTTAAGCATGAGAGTGACAGTTTTGTTTTGGTTTTTAGGTGTTTTTTTTTTTTTATTTTTCTGAGGCAGAGTCTCACTGTGTAGTCTAAGCTGGCCTTGACTTGAGCTAATCCTCCTGCCTCAGCATACCCAAGTGCAGGGATTATAGGCATGCACCCTCACACACAGCAGCGTATTTTAAAAAGATAGCCATTAGAGAGGTACAGAGACCAGTCTGTACATTTAACGTGGTACACCACAGCCGGTGAAGGTACAGATGAAGACAGGAGTCATAGATGGATGGAAAGAAAGCACAGTTTGGGACAAAGGACAAAAAGAAGGAACTTCTAATCCGAACAGCTAAGGGGACTGTAGGTATCCAGCTGCAAATGGAAGATACTGATGGGAACAAATAGGCCTGGGAAGCAAGATGATGTGTACAGCTTCAGAGGTGAGTCGGAACTGCCTATCACATCCTGAAGGACCTGCCCACTAAGCGGTGAGAAAGACTGGTGAAGCACTCGGGATTGGCTCTTAGCAAAAGGAACTAACTTAGGAGCACCTAACAGAGGTGGAAATATGGAAAGCAGATGGTCAATGATCTTTTGTTGCAGGGAGGAAAGATGGCCAAGGCCAGCATGGGGAAAACCAAGAATAGTGACGAAGAGAAGGCCGTGAAAAGACTAAATCAGGGCCTGGGGAAGTAAAATGATGACCAGGAGAAACAGTGAAGCCAAAGGACAAGTCCTCTTCCAAAGAAGCAAAGGTGATATCAACAGGGCCATATTTTACAACATGGTTTTCCTCTACACACACACACACACACACACACACACACACACACACACACACACACACACACACACACCTGTCCCACCACCAAAGGCAGAATTATCATGAACAGTGTCATTGCTTGAAAACCTTACTTTCTTCCTTTTTCAAGGATCAAAGAGTCAATATTGTAATATTTCCATACTACCAGAGGCTCAGAGTGGCACAATGTGAAAATCTTCCCTGAGTATTTGTCAGGGTCCTACTCAGCCACCTAGGGATCTGGATTCAGGAGGATTGGGCCTTTTCCTGAAAGTCCCCAGTAGGCAGGAGTTAACTGGGAAACTTTGAGGGTCATACACAGCGCTTGAGTTCAGGCACACAGACAAGATGGGTGTTCAGGTGGATGCACCTGCAACTGTCGTGGGCCTTCCTTGGTTTCTCCCGGTGACTAGTGTCTTTCCTAAGATGCCCATTCAGCAACATCCATAGCATCACTCATCCCAGCACTGCAAAAAGAAGTGTGTCTTCCCAGCCCAGGGACTGCCATTACGGATTAGCAGGTAAAAGCTAATAGAATCTTTAAACTCTTCTGGGCCAGTGTGCTCTTTGGGCCAGAAAGAAGCCTGGATATGCAAGAGGTCCTTTCCCACCCATTCCTGTTGACAACCCATGTCAAAGAGGGTGAGAATTCCTGTGGCAGCTCCGAGAGGAGGAAGTACCCAGATTACTTTTACCCTTTAACTCTCCTTTGTTAGTAGAGAGTGATTTAAATACAGAAAATTTAAAATGTCAAAACACGCATTTTAAATGATCAGGTATTGATGGACTCAATCTAGGCCCATCTGCCAAACAAATAGGAAGATTTGAAAGACTGCTGTGAGTGCAGCCTGTACAGCCACAGAACACAAATGTCACCCTCTTCCCAACCGGATATCAATGATGCTATGACATTTTCTGGAATTTAGAGGACTCAGATTGGTGAATGGACTCAGATTGGTGAATTTAAGCTCACCATGTTCTGGCAGGCAGAGGGCAGAGAGGGCTAACACCAACACCCCCAGCTTCCGGGACCTGCTCCTCCATCGCTGGGCCTGAGATTCCAGCTCGCCCACCAGCTCTCAAAGTGCACAGTGCACACCCTGTATTACAGGCCCAGGGCCTAGGCAGAAACACAAAAATATGACAATCTAAGGAAAGAAAGGCCACAGTGCCGACCTATTTCTCTCCTTCCTGACATACTTGAGACCAAATGGCTGCAAAACTAAGTTTATTCTGGTTCCTTCTCCACGTGTGACATCTCAATGACAGTAACGAATGTTTTCAACCTGTCACCTGTGCTGAAACTGATAGGGAAAACTTTTATAAATAGCAAAAACCTATGAAGTGTTACAGTGTAAAATGGCTTCTGCTGTCCCTAACAGCAGTTTGTTTTGCTCAGAACTAATAGGACCAAAGGCACTAATTGCTGATGAGCCATTTGGTCTGACCTTTCGATAACAGGGCACATCAAGACCTTGAGCTCCAAGGAGACTGGAGCCACATGATCCAAAGAGCATCTAGATGAAAGAACCCATTGCTAACATTGTGACACCCCGTTCCTATGGACTAGATTAGATAACGAGGCAAATCTTAAAGGTAAACTCCCCAGCTGCAAAGAACTGTTATGTCTGCGTTGAAAGTTAACTATCCTGTGACCGTGATTTGAACTGTGAGAATGAAATGTAACCACCCAAAAGTCAAGGCTGTGAAACCCTATAAAAGGAGTTGTAACCCAGTGCACCAACCATCTAGGCACGGCTTATGTGCGATCAACCCTTGTTGATGAGTAAATTTGTTTGTTTAACTTCCATTCTGCTGCCTGTGTCACTTACTGATTCCTTCCATAACAAAAAAGTTCTGTTCTCTTCAGGGTGCAAATAGGGAAGACTGAGAAGCAATGTCATCTGAGATGTGCACAGCCATCTGAGTCCGACATGGGCTGGGGTCTGCAAGCCCTGCCAACAACGCCAGCCCCGGGGAAACCTGGCTGAAGATGCATTTCCTACTGAGGGAAGTTCACCTATTCAACCCGGGGGACTCATATTCTCATTTGGTCTACTTTACCCAAAACTCGAAGTCGAGACCCCTATTCTGCCCTTTAAATGTGCAATTTCCTAAATATGTCCGAGAATACACACCCACATCACAGCCTTCAGAGCAAAATCCCGTTCCTGGAGAACAGCTCAAATAAATATCCTTGTGTATCTGCAATAGGAACCCTTCAAGTAATGCGAATTAGATCACGCATTCATAGAGCACTGACTTGGGAGAAATTGAGGCGAACATGCAACTAGTAAAAGCGGCCAGGAATCCTAACTCTCCCTGCAGAAGCCAGACAGGCAAAGCATCGACTTATTCCCACAGCTCATCCTATAGCCCCAAAGTCTGAGGAGGCCACCCGGGGATGAAAGCTGCTCAATGGTACAGCAATCGTCCGGAGCTCTGGACTGGGAACAAAAGCTAGGCCAGTTCAGGCCCGAACAGCCCAACCTAAAAAATCCCTGCTGACCACAAGTCCTGAGAAGGTCCTGCTCCAGAACCCTGCCCCACCCTCCGCTGCTGCCACTCCCGGGAGGCGGCCGAACTGGATCTGAGGAGGACCCGGGGATGAAAGCTGCTCAATGGTACAGCAATCGTCCGGAGCTCTGGACTGGGAACAAAAGCTAGGCCAGTTCAGGCCCGAACAGCCCAACCTAAAAAATCCCTGCTGACCACAAGTCCTGAGAAGGGGTC